GAGATTTAGAAAGTTTAGAAACTTGACCTGACTGAAAAGAAGTAAGAAATGGTGGACCTTGAAAATGACTTCAGGTTTTCTCACTGTCAGTATATAGTCAAACACTGCTGCAGTTAGATATTTTACCCTTTGTTCTCCCTGCGTGATCTACAATAATAATCTGCTTTGTGTTGATATTTATTGCTGTGTTGCTGACAATTGCCTGAAAGAGAAGTTAGGGTGCTTCACTGGGCTGGAAAAAGTTTAGCGAAATTAGAAAGCAGGTCTAATTAAGCAAGTTTATTCTATATCTATAAAAGGCTAAGTTGACTCCTGCATGTGGGATACATATAAAGCTCTCACTGGCGCCAGTCGCATGTGTGTGTTTCGGTCTGTCATTGTCGATTGTGAATTTGGTTGACACTTCTATTATAGAGAAAGGGCGAATAGCGATATTAAAATATTTCTTCTAATTAATTTCCTTTCCATGTGCACAATCCGTGCACCGGGCCACTAGTCAGATTATGAATGTCACCAACAGGCCAATTGTGTGCTAGTTTACAGTGAATGTTAGAGATCACTTTTCTAGCAGCTTCAAGGACATGGTGAATGCAACTGTTGCATGTTGATTTGTTACAATGAGAATAACTCTTGTCAATTTCTGATAACCTGGCTTAAGCGGGGCCGGCCTTTAGGGGCACTGGAAGCATGGGCCTCTAGGGCAGTGGTTGGCAAACTCATTAGTCAACAGAGCCAAATATCAACAGTACAATGATTGAAATTTCTTTTGAGAGCCAAATTTTTTAAACTTAAACTATATAGGTAGGTACATTGTTATTAACTTAATTAGGGTACTCCTAAGGCTTAGGAAGAGCCACACTCAAGGGGCCAAAAAGCCGCATGTGGCTCTCAAGCCGCAGTTTGCCGACCACGGCTCTAGGGTGAGTTCAGGAGTTCAGGGGTCAGGCACCGTCATCACCCTTCCCACCTGAAGATCCTTTAGCAACTGTTACCGAGAGTCTGCCAGGTACCGAGCTATGTACCAATGACCCCAAAATGAAGAGTGTGGTTTCTATCTCCAAAGAGCCCACATGGAACTTCAGGACCATGGCTGCCAACTCAAATGCCTCCAGGGGCCAAGTGGCCTGTGTAGGTGAGGGACCAGGGCCAGGTCTGGGCAGCAGAGATGATGGTTTGTATTTCACCTAAAGGGGCACTGCTGCTCAGCTCCTTCGGTCACTGCTGAGTGGGAAGGGTATGCCGTTTCTCCTCAAGGAAATGGGAAAGCTGGATTTAGAGGTGAAATACCCAGAGCTGTCAAACTCACAACTTATTCAATGACCCTTCTCCTCGGGCACCTCCCCCCACCCCCACACACACACACTGGGGGTCGAGCCCGCAACCCCTGCATGTGCCCTGACAGGAATTGAACCAGCAACCTTTTGGTGCATGGGACAATCTTCCCCTCGGGTAACTCCCTTCCCTCCCCGCCCCCCACACTGGGGGTTGAGCCCCTGCATGTGCCCTGACCGGAATTGAACCAGCAGCCTTTTGGTGCATGGGACGATGCCCAACCCATTGAGCACACCAGCCAGGGCCCATCACCTGTGTTTTGAAGCTCGGCCAGACAGGTGAGTATAGCCAACCCAGCGTCAGCCCAGCCCCACCTACCTCTTCATAGCTCCTTGACAGAAAGCCAAGCTCTTCTTTCAGGCTTTCTATTTGACTTTCCAGATCCATTGTTGTCAAATTAGCTTCATCGATGACTTTATAGAGAGAGTTAATTTCCTCTTCCACAGCCTTTCGAAATGGCTGCTCATTTTCATATCTGCAGATAAAGGAACTTAATCAGCATAGCTAGGTGACCGAAAAGAGAAAATAATCTATATATATAAAAGGCTAAGTGTTCGTCTGACCAGTAGCTATGACGTGCACTGACCACCAGGGGGCAGACGCTCAATGAAGGAGCTGCCGTGACCCACACTGGCCATTTAAAAATAAACGGTACCACAAATCTGGTGCCGACAAATCAACACTCGGCTTCCCCCAAGTGGGACACAGGCCCCATCACCACCCCGTAATGAGAGCCCACCAAATCGCTGCCAAAGTTGCCGAGACCTCATGGTGCAAAATGCAGCCCATAGCCCAGCCTCACCCCAAAAGGTCACTGTGGGTGCCAGGTAATGACATCACGTAGCAACACCTGGCATCCTCTCCCTAGCAACTAGCCTCCTTGGAATTTCTTCAGCCCAGAAACCTGACTTGCTTTAAGCCAGGTGGAAACATTTTACAGTTTAACCAAATGTTTGTGAAGTGTTTTTCCGTGCCTCAATCTCATTTGATCCTCACAGAAGTCCTGGAGTAGGTAGATATCTTCTCCTTGAGTCATAAAAGGATGTCCGTAGGGACCTTTTGGGGAAGTTGCACAGCAAGCATGTCAAACTTGCGGCCCGCAGGCTGCATGCAGCCCACAATGAATACTTTTGCGGCCCAGCCAATATAGCGGTATGTAAGGAACATTTTAATAAAAATTTCGTAACTTAATTTTTACAATATCCTGTTATACGTAATTGTTAATAACAAACTACAACGTTCGTTAATGACTGATGACTCTCATTGTGTTGCATTCATCTCCCTTACGTGCCTTACAAGCAAGCGCACCATTTCTCTCCACTAATAGTAGCAGCGAATATTTTAGCAGCTGATGGCCACATCATTCGTCTGGGACTGACTTGTTGGGTGTGCGCAACAGGAAATATTTTGCTTTCGGAGAACGAGAAAAATAGGTTATTTGCATTATGCTTATGAATTTGTGCAGTTATTCAGTGTCTGGTAAGTTCATGTTCAAGGAAAAAAATTAATTTTTATTAAAATGTTCTATTATTGTATGTTAACGACGACTCATTTATTTTAGCCCTTTGTATTCAGTACGTCTCTATCGACATAAACCTACGTTTCTACGAAAATGGAAGCTTTTGTTTTTTTGCAGCCACATACACTTAGACCTTGTTTATTTGGCCCGTGTTAGCCTTTGAGTTTGACATGATTGGTCTAGAACAGGGGTCCTCAAACTACGGCCCGCGGGCCACATGCAAATACAAATATTGTATTTGTTCCCGTTTTGTTTTTTTACTTCAAAATAAGATATGTGCAGTGTGCATAGGAATTTGTTCATAGTTTTTTTTTAAAACTATAGTCCGGCCCTCCAACGGTTTGAGGGACAGTGAACTGGCCCCCTGTTTAAAAAGTTTGAGGACCCCTGCTCTAATTGGTCTTACCCCCTTCTTAAAATGTGATACAGAACGCAAAACTCCAGAGTCCTGTGGGACTGTCTGCCCCTTTGTTCAATCCCTTTAATGCTCTTCAGCATGGACCCTAAGATTTGCTTTGTGGGTTTTGTTGGCTTGTATGTTTGTTCGTTTGATCTGGACCAGCTGTGTTTGCTGCTGACTAATATTGGGTTTCCCCCTGAGCATTTTTCTCAAGAGCTGCTTTAAGCCCAGCTTCCCGGTCCTCCCTGGGGCACCTGGTATTTGAGCCGCAAAGTAGGAGCTCATATTTATTCTCTTTCAGTGGCCGTGGGCCATTGTTCCAATGTGTTGGGATCATCTTGAACCCTGATTCTGTCACTCTACTCTTCACCCTCCTCCTGGTTTGTATCTTCTGCCGTTTGGCCACACCTGCTTCCAGGCACCTTGCAGTTACAAGTAGGAAATGAAAGAATGCAGGACGGAGCCCTGTGGCATCCATCAGAGACCTCCCTCAGGGCGGACCTGCATCTTGGATCGGCACTTGGGAGACGGTTTCTAAAGCATTTTTCTAGTGTTTTATGTGTAGGATTAACTTTTCTCTCCAAGTGTATTCTTTATGAAGATTGTATTCTTCTTTTGTTTTTGTTAATCCTCGCCCGAGGGTATTTTCCCATTGAGTTTTAGAGGGTGGAAGAGAGCGGGGGAGATAAACAGAGAAACACTGATGTGAGAGAGACACACATCAGTTGGTTGCCTCCCAACCAGGGCCGAGGATTGAGCCTGCAACCAAGTCACATGCCCTTGACCGGAATCGAACCTGGGGTCCTTCAGTCTGCAGGCCGATGCTCGATTCATTGAGCCAAACTGGCCAGGGTGAAGGATTGTGTTCCTATCAACACTTCCTCCTTTTGGGAACAAGTCCTGTCCTTCCAGCGAAATGAAAACCCACCCCTGTGACTGGGCTTGGTCCCTGCTGCTCCAGGTTGGAAGAGTCGCCCTGGGGCCTCCGGAGCCCTGCTTGGCTCACCTCTCCAGGGAGCCTGGTCCCTCCGGGATGTGGTCCATTCAGCAAACCCTCTGAGCCCTCAATGACACACATGCTCACACACATGCACACACACACTCACGGGAGTCTGAACGCGCCCACTCTGATGAGGGTATTTTCCCATTGAGTTTTAGAGGATGGAAGAGAACGGGGAGATACACAGAGAAACACGGATGTGAGAGAGACACACATCAGTTGGTTGCCTCCCAACCAGGGCTGAGGATTGAGCCTGCAACCAAGTCACATGCCCTTGACCGGAATCGAACCTGGGATCCTTCAGTCTGCAGGCCAATGCTCGATTCATTGAGCCAAACCGGCCAGGGTGAAGGATTGTGTTCCTATCAACACTTCCTCCTTTTGGGAACAAGTCCTGTCCTTCCAGCGAAATGAAAACCCACCCCTGTGACTGGGCTTGGTCCCTGCTGCTCCAGGTTGGAAGAGTCCCCCTGGGGCCTCCGGAGCCCTGCTTGGCTCACCTCTCCAGGGAGCCTGGTCCCTCGGGATGTGGTCCATTCAGCAAACTCTCTGAGCCCTCGGGGCCACGCTTGTGTCTGTAAGGAGGGTTTGGGCCTGACCATCTTGGCCACCATTCGATGACACACGTGCTCACACACGTGCTCACACACACTCACGGGAGTCTGAACGCGCCCACTCTGAGCTCTTCCCATCTCTGGTTGACACAGGGCCTTCTTTCTAAAAACTACCCAGCATCTTTGCCAGTGTCTCCCCATGTCCCTCCTTTCCGTCCATGGCCTTCTCCCCAGCTCTGGATTCTCCCCGGGACCGTTTCCCCACCCCAGCCTTCCATGTGGCCGGAGGAGAATGCTGCAGACTCCAGAGAGCATTACCCGAGGAGTCCCCAAGAGTCTGGAGGTAAGGGGGGGCGGTGGTTGGGGGGGCTCCCCCCTGTGGCAAAACATTACCTGTCTTTAAAGGCATCCGCACCCGCCTGGATGTTCTCTGTCCGCAGCACGAGCCGGGCGTTTTCCAAGACGGCCTCGCCCACCTGAAACTCACACAGCAGAGCAAGGTCACAGCAAGGCCAGCCCTGCTCCCCGCGGAGACTCCTGCCAGGCACAGGGGAGCTCTTCCCATCTCTGGTTGACACAGGGCCTTCTTTCTAAAAACTACCCAGCATCTTTGCCAATGTCTCCCCGTGTCCCTCTTTTCCGTCCATGGCCTTCTCCCCAGCTCTGGATTCTCCCCGGGACCGTTTCCCCACCCCAGCCTTCCATGTGGCCGGAGGAGAATGCTGCAGACTCCAGAGAGCATTACCCGAGGAGTCCCCAAGAGTCTGGAGGTAAGGGGGGGCGGTGGTTGGGGGGGCTCCCCCCTGTGGCAAAACATTACCTGTCTTTAAAGGCATCCGCACCCGCCTGGATGTTCTCTGTCCGCAGCACGAGCCGGGCGTTTTCCAAGACGGCCTCGCCCACCTGAAACTCACACAGCAGAGCAAGGTCACAGCAAGGCCAGCCCTGCTCCCCGCGGAGACTCCTGCCGGGCACAGGGGCTCTGGGTACCTCTGTGTCCCTTTTGGAAAAGGGGGGCGGAGGATAAAGCTCAGAACCAGGGTGTATTTTTTCTTTTCTTATCGTCACCTCAAGACATGTTTTTATTGATTTTAGAGAAAAAGGAAGGGAGAGAGAGAGAAACATCGATGTGGTGGAGAAACATCCATTGTTTGCCTCCTGCATGTGCCCCAATCGGGAATCAAACCCGCAACCAGTTGGTGTTCAGGACAACCCTCCAACCAACCGAGCCACTCGGCCAGGGCAGGATCTGGATGTTTTGTGTTTTTTAAAAATATATATATTTTAGTGATTTTTTACAGAGAGGAATAGATAGTTGGAAACATCGATGAGAGAGAAACATCGATCAGCTGCCTCCTGCACATTCCCTACTGGGTATGTGCCCGCAACCAAGGTACATGCCCTTGACCGGAATCGAACCTGGGACCCTTGAGTCGGATGTTTTTAAAGCGCTTTAGAGTTGGATTTTTGGAGCAAAAAGATCACTCCATGGTAGACTTGTTCACAGCCTTCCTGCTTTACTGTTGATTAGTACCAACCAGGGGCTTATTCAAGCCTCAAGTGGAGGCTAATTATAGGCTCTGACTTGCCAAAGTGCAGCTGGCTGGCTGGGCTTCCCCATCCCCTTCGCGGACGGGATCCTGAAATGACCCGCAGTCCACCATGCAGCCACAGAGGGCCCTTCATGGTTCTCCTGCAGGCGCCCAGCCCAGCAGGGGCTACGTCCTCTCTGGTGTTAGCAGTGGCTCTGCCATCCCAGCGGTAGGAAGGGCCAGGCAGGCAGCGTGGTGAGGGCTGGGCCTTGGCTGAGGTTGAGCCTGGGCTGAGGACTGGGAGGGGCCAAGTCCAAAAGCAAAGCTTGGAGCCTGCAGTGGGACAGGGAACATCTTTGTTTCTACCTGGGAAAGCTTCATGAAATCCTCGCTGGGGCTGAGGATAGGAAAGGAGGAGGAAAGGGAAGTGCCTGGCCCATGGCCTGGTGGAATTGGCTGGTAGCGAGAGCAGATAGTAAATATTCCAGGAGTTTTGTGAGCTGGTTGTGAAACACAGCCGTCATGAAAATTTTAATTGTGTGAACTTACAACTAAATACATTATTTCAAAAACACAGGTGATACTCAAAATGCAAAGGTCATAAAAACTCACCGCTTCCTAATTATTTTACTAGGTGTTACTGTCATCTCTGCATATATAAGGGTGTGCTCAAGCATTATTTCAAAAACACAGGTGATAAGTACTCAAAATGCAAAGGTCATAAAATCTCACCGCTTCCTAATTATTTTACTAGGTGTTACTGTCATCTCTGCATATATAAGGGTGTGCTCAACCCTTCATCCAGTGACAGCATGTTGTTAGCTTGATATCAGCCATGGTGGGAATATTTACACCAGGGCAATTGGCAAGCTGTTTTATGCCTGGATTGCTGATTGTGAAACACTCACCGAGTGAGCCCCACATTCTATTAAATACTTAACATTCATGACTTTGCTAAAGGCCCTGGCACCCCTCTGATGTGGATTTTCAGCACACCCATCTTATAGATAAGGACGCTGAGGCTCAGAGAGCTTAAATAAGTTGCCCCAAATCACATGGCTGGAGAGTGGCAAGGGCAGAATGCTGGACCAGGTCAATGTGATTGCATATGTTGTCATCAGCTTTGGAAACTGAAAGGCACATCAGAATCCAGAGAGACTGCTGTGGAGGATTGCTTTCTGTCTTCCTCCTGTGACGTAGAGCAGCCAGGGCTACAGGTTCCTAGCTGGGCTACATCATGAAGATAAAGACGTGTCTTCCCTGATGGATATGAAAATGCTGAGCAAATCAAACCAAACCAAACCACAGCACAGGGGCAGGCTGGTAGGCTGGCAGCCTGCGTATGGGGCCTGGGAAGGCTGGCAGAAGAGGCCCTCTCCTCCTCCTCCCCCTCCTTCTGCCCAATATAGAGCCAGAAATCCTACCCTCAAGGCGACATGACGTAATGCCAGGCCTCCTGTTAAAACCAGACACTTTGCCACGGCAGCAATAGTGCGAATTGCAGTGTGAGATTAGGTGGTTTGGGGCCTATCTCCTCAGCAGCATATTTTTATTTATTTATTTATTTATTTATTTATTTATTTACTTATTTATTAGAGAGAGAGAGAGGGGAGAGAATTTGTTGTTCCACTTACTCATGCATTATTTGGTTGATTCTTCTATGTGCCCTGACCCCCCTAGCAACCTTGGTGTATCTGGATGATGCTCCAACCAATTGAGCTACTCAGCAGTATTTTAAAAGAGTCACCAAAGTCTCACTAGAGTGAGAAACAGGAGACCCCTTCAAAGCATAAATGCAGCCGAGGAGAACGGTTGAGGACCAGGAGCATGGGGGTCAGAGGTCATGGCAGGCTCCCATTAGTTCCGAGAGGGATGGTGCGGAAGGGGAAAGGGCAGGCTGACCACTGGCCTCTGTCAGCTCAAACTGCTCACCGCCCTGGCGCCGTCTTCCCTGCCCCTCCACGCGGAGGCTTCCTCAGCAGGCCTTGCACCTGTGGTTCCCAAAGTGTGGTCCCTGGACCAGCAGCAGCACCACCTCAAAACTTGTCAGAAATGCAACTTCTCAGACGCTAACCCTCTGTAAGTGGGGCCCAACAACCTGTTGTAACAAGGTTTCTCGGGGCTTACAAGGTGCACTAGACTCGGAGAACCCCTACTTTGCACCGACCTGCCTCCAGGCCTGCTCATGTCACCTCCCAGGGGAAGTCCTCCAGGTCCTCCTCTGTGTGGCGGCCTGGATCTAGAAGATCTGGTTTTACCACCTCACACCTCTTGCCCTTCCACCTGAGAAACCCACCCCACTTTAAAGCTCATCTCAAACACGGCTGCCTCTGGAAAGCTTTTATCTAAAGATATATTTTTATTGGTTTCAGAGAGGAGTGAACAGAGAGAGAGATAGAAACATCAATGATGAGAGAGAATCATTGATCAGCTGCCTCCTGCACACCCCACACGGGGGTTTGAGCCCACAACCTGGGCATGTGCCCTGCCTGGGAAGCGAATGTGACTTCCTGGTTCATGGGTCGATGCTCAAGCACTGAGCCATGCTGGCTGGGCTCGGGGAAGCTTTCTGATCCATCCACCCCCTCATTCTCGCCCTCATCAGCACATGACTGTTTCCTCTGAGCCGGACTCTGAGCTGCCTGGAGGGGCATCAGCAGCTCTCCTGAGAGAGGTGGTTAGAAAGGGAGGAAGGCCAGGCCACGGCGGGAAGGCCTCGGGAACCGTGGAAAGGAGCTGGGATTTACTCGGGAGCCATGAAAAGGTTCTGAGCAGGCGAGACCCCTGACTCCAGCGGGAAGGGGGGTTGTGAGAGGCAGGAGGCGATGCTCAGGGCCCAGCTGGGGGGCTGCCCGGGAGATGCTGGCGGCTTTGGCCAGGGTGGTTGTCGGGATGGTGGAGAGAAGCCGACAGGTTTAAGACACATGTTGGGGGTGGGACAGACAGTTTTTGGTGATGAAGCAGTTGTGGGGAGAGTGAGCAAAAGGAATCGAGAACGGCCCGAGGTTTCTAGCCTGAGCTGCGAGGTGCACGGTGCTGACTCTTCCTCCCTCCTTGGACCACTCCTGCGTCTGAGCCCCGACCCCACGGCCCAGGCCCCTCTCGCACGCTCAGGACACAGTGGCGGGATTCTCTTATCCTCGAGCCAGCTCTTCCTCTCACCACTTGGGCCGTCCCGTGGGGAACTCTAAGACTTGCTTTCTTCCTCCATAAGACGAGGATGATGATGCGTCCCACCTCCTGGTACTTGGGAGAATTAAACGAGCCACGGCCCGAACAGCGCTTGGCTGCCTGCCTGGCGCGGGGTGAGTAGCCCGTGAATGGCAGCCGCTGTTGTTACTGTTATTTGTCTTAATACAGAGGTTGTTCCACGATTGTCAACCGCCTGACGGGTGTGTGCAGCCTGGCACGGTCCCCGGGCCGCCGCACGGGCGGTCGGATGGAGATTTCTATCTGCGGCTGGATTTTGTTCTTCGTTCGGTGTTTCCTGCCCACAGTCATTTTGAAAAGTCACTGGCTCAGGAGGGTGAGGATTGTTGCCCTTCGCACTGCCGTCCCCACTGGATGCAGTTGCTAAAATAAAAGGAGCTGGAGGCGGCCGGTGAGAGATTTGACCATCGTGGGGTCAACAGAGGGCAAGGACGGGCAGCATTTTAAAAAGTGTCATCCGTTGGGCCCCAGGGTCCAATGAATGCTGAGTTGGAGTTGAAGATAGTGGCATCCCAGCAGCCAGAGCTGCAGGCGTGGGGAGGAGGCGGGCTAGATGGGGCTCCTGGGAAATTAGGCTGGGCTGGCGCGGTGGCCTGATGCGGGAGTCCCTGGAAATCCTTCTCACATCCGAGCGACTTTCACTTTAGGACAAATGCTCAGCATGACTTGCTTCCAGCAATAACTAAACAAGAAGCCGTTACCTGTCCCTCGTACCCCGGAGGCAGTGCGTCTCCACCCCGATGGTGAGGACCACGTGGGACCCAGCCGAGCAGGGGCTTCTCCGAGCTCATGGTGACCGCCCAGCGGCCTTTCTCACAGACGTCACTCCCCCCTGGCTCCCAAGACACCTTTCTCCTGCTCTTCCTCCCGCCTCGTTGGCCATTTTCATTGACCTTCTCCTTCGTTGTCTTTTTTTTTTTTTTTAAATGTTTTTATAGATTTCAGAGAGGAAGGGAGAGGGAGAGAGAGACAGAAACATCAATGATGACAGAGAGACAGAGATTGGCTGCCTCCTGAATGCCCATCGAGCCCACAGCCCTGATGGGGAATCGAACCATGACCTCCTGGTTCACAGGTCGACGCTCAACCATTGAGCCACCCTGGCTGGGTGTCCTTCATTAAGTCTTTCTTCATTACCCACCCTGGAATTTTTTATCTCTT